TATTTTTCTGTTTATTAATTATTAATTATTTTTAATAATAAAATTAGAATAAAAATTGTACAATTTTGAAAACTTAAAAAAAAAAAAAAAATAGTGGCAGTCTTCCCTTGTTTCTTTCGCTTGACTCTTGTAATGCATCAATGGATCATTACGCTATCTAGAAAGTGAGATTTTTCTTTCATTTTGTTTGCTTTCCCTTATCGAATAGTCCAACCATATCCATACCCAACATACCGGCCACTCAGACCCAGCCAATATTCCACTCCCGAAACTTCAAAAATGGTCTAAACCCTTATCCAAAGCACCTTCCACGCTGATAAAATCATAAAACAACAAATTCTCATAAATTCAGTGCCGGATTTCCATCTCTAGGGTTTCCACACACTGTTAATGGACTATAGTATCTCCCTCCACAACTCCACAACCTCCTCTTTCCCGCCTTTTTTACCCTCCGCGGTGAAATCACAGGGGACCCACCAAAGTTTCACTTTCACCCACCGGAGATCACTTCCCAGCAGCCCCGTTAGTGTCCGTACCTACCGTACTCGGGACCAGGTACGATCTGGTGTTGTAGCCTGTGCCGGGGCAAGTCACTGTGAGTTTGGTAGCTTGAACTCTCCGCTTGAGCCGCGTTCTGCTTCCGGGAAGTATCTCAGTGGTGTCTTGCAGAACCAGCGGCCGTTATTTCTGTTGGCCGTTTCCGATGAACTGAAACAGCTTGCTGATGAACGGAAAGGCGCTTTGTGTCGTGTGTTTCGAACCCACGACTCTGATTTGGCCTGTCTTTACAGGTATGTGTGCTGTTGATCGTCAGTAGTTCATAGTTTCATATTTTGCTTTTCATGTTTGCGCCCCTGTTTTACTCTGTATTGAATTCTTATAAATTTTAATAAAAAAAATTAAGTAATTAAGGAGTCCTTGAAAGTTTTTCTCTGTGATAATTCAAAGAAATTTTCCCAAATTTAAAACTTCCTTGGCAGTTTGGATGCTTTACGGTCTGTTCAGGTAAAATCTAATTTTTTTTGGTGAAATAGGATTGGATTTATATTTTGATGTTATTATTTAATTAATGATACGAGAGATTCAGCGTGGTTTCATACTGCTGAAACCCCTGCTTGTTTTCAAGGCTTGAATGGCTAGTGGTGAGGAAGTTAATGTGCTTTGTGTGAGATTAGTCTGATGAGTACCTTTTCACTTTCATACCTGGTCCACATGTAAAAATATCACAAATGGCATGGACTATTGTTGATTGGACTTTAGTAGGTCCACAAATTTTATGTAAAATGGGGTATGAATAAGGGTAACAAGGTCATGTGTCGTCTCAATTATGCATCTATTTTTTGAATGTCATTGCTCTTCTGTGCTGAAAACTGAGAAAGACAGGGTGGTGCTAGTCCTTTTGAAATAAATAAGAGAGATATTCAAGATAGTATTATGGTATGTTGGTGGTTTTGCCAGTGAGATTTTATCTCCTGGCTAGCAGTCTTAACACTATATTTTTAGATGAAGCCCTTATCCAGAACGTTTTGGTCCTTTTTATGTGGACCAATCACTTAATTAATTCTTCTTCTTCTTCTTCTTCTTCTTCTTCTTCTTCTTCTTTTGTCTGGATTAAATATTTTCCTATTCATGTTCTGGGTGAAGCATAGTGTTCACTAGGTGCTGATGAGGCCGTGTTAATATTATACTATTTTTGTTGTCAGGTCACACTGCTTATTTTCCTTTACAATGCTTCTAAATTAGCATTTCATTTCAAAAATGCATACTTGGAGCCTATATTCTGGATAAATATTTTCCTATACATGCTCTAGCTGTAGCTTTAGCGTTTGCTAGGTGCTGATAAGGATGTGTCAGTATTTGAAAATTGCACTCTATAGTGATGACTTCGTTGATAATAAAATTACAAAGGGCAGCATAATGTCTTGCCCAGCCATCATTGGCAATCAGTTTTTCTGACCATAGGGATGAGCCAATTAAATGTTGTTAATTTTGCTATTTTTGTTGCTATTTGTATTTAGCATTGTGATATAGTTATACTTTTGAATTTACTTGGGCTGTTTAGATGTTGGATTAGATTGGGTTTTAGAAAAGAAAAAAGTTTAATTTCATGATTATTGCATTAGATGCCAATGCCATGGAATGATTTAAACTGTCTTGTGCTCAAAGGGAGCTTTTGGATCCCTTCCTGTATACCTTTTCCATTGGCAAAAAGTGAAGGTTGTAAGTGTTTAGTCATCAGTGAGGTAATTGTTAAGCAGCACTTTAACTGGAAGCCTAGTTGTCTTCAATTCTGATATGATTGTCTTTTAAAATTGCAGAAGGATTGCCCAAGTGAAAGCACATGACTGTGACCTTGCCATTGAAGATATAATTTATATGTTAATCATCTACAAGTTCTCTGAAATACGAGTCCCTTTGGTTCCAAAGCTCTCAAAATGCATTTATAATGGTAGACTAGAGATATGGCCTTCAAAGGACTGGGAGCTAGAATCCATTCACTGTTTTGAGGTTTTGGAGATGGTACGGGAGCATATAAGTACCGTTATTGGCTTGAGAGCAGATTCTAGTGTCACAGACAACTGGGCAACCACAGAGATCCGGCATATTGATCTTGGCCGAGTTTATGCAGCATCAATCTTGTATGGCTACTTTCTGAAGTCTGCCTCTTTGAGGCATCGTCTGGAACAGTTTCTAGGCTTGCCATTGACTGATAAAGACAACAATCTTGGTCAGATGCCTTCCTTCCAATTTCCAGAGATTAAGGCCAGACTGAAAAATCTGGTCGGCTGTGTAGGCAATAAGCAGTTTGATTCAGTTGGTCAAGAATCAAGAAGGCAGGAAAGCAATGTTGACACTTTCAGGCATTATGTAATGAGATTTGATCCTGAAACATTGAAGATGTGTGCAAAGCTAAGGACCAAAGAGGCTGCACATTTGATTGAGAAGCATAGCTGTGCGCTGTTTGGGAATGAAAAAACGGGCAAGCTTGAAACTGATGGTTTGATCTTGACCTCTTTCTCAAGCCTAAAGAGGTTAGTTTTGGAAGCTGTTGCTTTTGGTTCTTTCCTTTGGGACATTGAAGAATATGTTAACAATGTCTATAATCTTAAAGACAGCTAAATTCGAGCCAACCGGCAGTTAAATAAGTCAGAGCTAGTGATCAAGCCTCTCTGTACATAGGAGTGTTTGACTTTTGCCAGCAAAGGTTTTGGAAATCGACAATTTCCATTGTGTAGCTTTTTTTTGCTTCTGTAACATGGGTATCTAAACCTGGTTTGACTGGTTAAACTACATATTATTATTTTCTTATAAATAATGTGCAGTTTCAGTATAATCTTCTCTGGTATCTAATAGGCATCAGTTCAAACTAGTTGATCATTGAGTGATAAATATGGTTCTTTGCAAACTACTTTTCTTTATTGGATTGGTTCTTGATTTAGTATTTTTCTCTTTCTTCCAAACCCAAATAGAACTGGAGTTCTCATGAGCTAATAAAAGAGAGTTCTTCTCTTCAAATATAGGCTATATATGATGATCTGATGGTTAAAGCCAAAAGGGGTAAGAATGCGTTGGACTATAGCCTTGTTTGGAGGTTTTTTGACTAACCGTCTAAGTTTTTACAGCGGAAATTTATTCTGTTTGACTTTTGAACTTCTGTTTTCAATTTTAAATGGCTTAATTTAACAAAATATCTACTAACTTTCATATTTTTTCAATTTCATCTATTATCTTTGGATTCTTCCAATCCTGTCTACTATCTTTCAAATTCATTTTAATTTCGTCTAGTCTGTTATCTTTCACAGAAAACTTCCTATTCTATTAGAGAACAGTTAGTTCTCTAACTATATTAGTTTTGATCTTTTAGTCCTCAAATTTATATTTGCTGTAAAAATAACTTTTATACTTAAAATTATTGTTTATTGGCTCTAATACCAAATTTTTCAACAGGTTTTCAAAACTTAACTTAGACTACTACTGGTTAATGAATAGCTGGTATGTTAAGCTCAGAACTTAACTCAGACTATCATTGACTAATAAATAGTTGGTATGTTAAGCTTAGTTAGTGCGGAATTAGATCTACTAGACTGCTAACAAAGATAATCTTTGCTTGGCCTTTTTTAATCTTTTTAGATCTTCATTTAAATCTGTAAATGTTTGCTTCAAATTTTTTAGATTCTTAGATAGATGATAATCATCTTCAATATTACTTATTTTTTCTAAAATTTTTACTATTTTATTTCTATAATATTTGCATTGATGCTCATAAACTATCTTATCTACAACAATTTCTTGAATAAAATCAAGCATCTTAAATTATAATGGTTTAATATAAAATGGATTTTTATTCAAAATATAAGAGGTCAGGTACTATTTCCCCATCATTTCTCATCTCAAAAATAATCTAATGTTAAAGAATAATAAAGTTGTTTCTATGCCCACCTTGCTTCCATATGATAAAATAAATGAGTTAGAATTTTACTTGAAAATCTCTTGGACTAGCCTTTAGTCAAGCAAATGCTTCCTTTGTCCAACCTTTAATGCCAAACTCAAGTTAAAATGGGTATCCAAACAGGACGAGTGACTTCACTACTGCCTTAGTTTCTTTAGGATTCTTCTCATTTTATTTTATGATGGAAATAAAGAAGGATAGAAACACAAGAATTATTCTAAAACATAATTTTATTTTTGAGAAAAGAAAGGGAATGTTCCCTTTCCTCTTGAAGGGTGTTTATAGATGCATAGTAGAAAGCTTTCAAGTAAGGTATTTGGATATTCAAATGCCCAATACCTGATACAACTTATAGGAGGCTTTTTATAGCGCTACTTAGAATCTTTTCCTTTGTCATTGCTGACGATTAAAGTTTACATTATTGTCTAGTGATCGAGACTTACTTCTTGCTTTTGCTAAAGCAAATTACATGGAATCTTGCAAACGCTCTTCTTTTTCTTTAATGATGTAAGCGCTTACGTCTTTTTGCATTGGATTCTTCAAAGGACAATGAGATCTTCTTCACTGTTTAAGGGGGTGGTCCCTTTGTCACATGGGGCTTCAGCTTTTCCTTTTGCAGATTCTTTTTTTTAGCAGAAACCATAATGACTGTCATGCTTTAATAGCTTGCATAGTCTATTATGGACTACTTTACTGGTTGGGACTAGATTTTCAAAGATTTCCTTTCTTTTTTGCTTTATTTTGAACAGGTTGATACTTGTCATTAATCTTGCACCAGTGGATACCACCAAGATTTCTTTGGAGAAGCCATATGTCCATGTCTTCCTCATTTCTATCATTCTATCAAAGGTCTGGAGCAAAACCTTGAATCCTAGAGCTTGTCTCTTTTGGATGAACTCGATCCCACAAAGAGACTTTTCAAAGTCTTGAAAAATTTGATCTCCATTTGCTTCTACCTTGATCTTCTTGGACTGGATTCCAATTTGAATTCATGTGCTAAACTTCCCATGGTTTTATTAATATTTCTATCATTAATGTTTACAGTGTATTTTGGATATACTGTAAACATAAGTTTCTGGTAACTAAGGTTACCTTGCACTAATCCAAGGATAGCATCCTTTCTATCATTAATTCTATTATCTATTAAAGCTAATTTTATTGGGGTGTCTATTCCTTCTCTAAAATGAGCTTTAATAAGTATTTGTATTCCTCCAATGTGGATAAAACCTATCCTTGATCTATCAGCTTTGTAATACCCCAAAAATTTCAAAAGCAAATAAGTGTGAGTTATGGACTAAATCATGAGAGAATAATATTGTTGGCCTTAATAATAGAAAATTTTAAAATCAAGGGGTTTAAAAGAAAACAAATTGGATAAGGATTGGCTGACTTTTTCTCTTTTTTTTTTTTCCTTCTTTCTTTCTTCCCCCAGCCAATTCGTGTTCTGCTCTCTTCTCCCCAGCAACCGACCAAAGAAGCCCTGCCACCACCGCCTACTCCTCTTGAAAAATTGGTAAGATCTTGGTAAAATTCCCTTCCTTTTTTGTTAAATAACAAGATTTAGAGCTTAAAACTCTCCCTAAACCAGAAATTTCTCAGATCTGCTCTGTTCTCCTTGCCCCTGTCCGTGAGTTGCTCTTGCCGGTGAGAGTGCTTTCGGTTTTCTGGTAAGGGAACAACCATGAAATCATCTCTTAAGCCTTGATTTATGTTGGGTTCACTCTAATTGTTCTTATTCCTTTCAATTTCATGCTGGTTCCTCTCCAAGATCCCGCCAACGTTCCCATCGCCAGCTCCAATTTCTTTGCTTGCTGAATTTTCTGGTATGTGGCAACTCTTTTAAGTCCAAATTTCATCTAGTTGGTGGTTGCCTTGCTGAATTTGGTCCTTGTGTGGCTGCCTTGTGTTGTCCAAATGCTGCCAAGAAAAATGGAAGATTTCGGTAGCTTTAAATTGTGTTTTTAGTTAATTCATGTGGAATTTGCTTATGTTGGTTGCTGTGATGTTAATTGTGGGAAAATCCTATGAAATTCTCGTGAATTAGCTATTTTTGCCTAAGCCGATTCCTCCATTTTATCTATGAGATTTGGAAATTAAATATAAATGCACAATATGATTTTTAGAGCTCAAATTTCGGATAGGAAGTAAAATAAAATGAAGTAAATAAATAAATAAAATAAAATATTGCATTATGGGGGTTAATTGCCGGCAATATTGAAAAGGATTAAATAGGTAGTTTTCATATGGTTATTAATTCTGGAATATTTTGGTTAGGTTCCTGCTTATTCTATCACCCTAGCTCTTGAAGTGAGTTTTCTGCTTTATGCGATTGAGGTAAGTAAATTTATGGTAATACCCGTATAGTTTTTAAAAGCATATTTTGACTTGTTTTTGAAGTGGTGGCGGGACTAAACCCATTTTATACAAAAGTAAGTATAACTGATTTGAAGTGAAATTTTTATGCTTTTCATTAAATTGAGCATGCCTACTTGAAATTTAATTGATTATCCTGATGATCTGAAAGTGATTGGTGAATTATGGTTTTTTTGTTAACTTATACTTATTTTGTCTCCGATGTGGTCATGTTATTAGTGTGCCTGCTGGTGGGAGGTTTATAAACGCTAGCACATGTCGACATGTTATTGATAGAACTGGTTCGTTCGAGTGACCCTGCTAGTGGGGGTTATACACGAACAAATAGTGTAGCCTGTCAGTGGGAGGTTTATAACACTGGCCATGACCTATAGAGGAGACGTCTATTTAGTTCTCGTACTGTATTCGTTTTTTGTGATTACACTTGTTGGCATGCTATAAGTTTAATAGGGGGCACTCCATATTTTACTTACTGAGTTTATCTCATAGTTTTCCTTGTCCACCATTTCAGGTAGTGAGACCCGACACACGGGGAGCCTGGGAGAGTGACGAGCTAGGCAGCTAGGCATTATTTTGGACTTAGATTTTATAGCTAGGCCGCTAGTCACCCATGCTTGACATAGAAATTTTGTGTACAGAGCTTCCTTAGTTTTAGTCATGATCGTATATATGAAGTTATAAATTTTGTACATCTTGACTGGTAAATATTTGGTAAATAAAAAGGTTTAGATCTGAATTGTCTGAATTGCTAAGTAAGAACTCAGTAGGTTCCGAGTCTTGTGTATTTGTGGGCCCTGTTCACGAGTGCATGACGCTTGTCTCGCTTCGGGGTTTGGGGCGTGACAAGCTTCTTTGATTTTTGATAGTTTTCTTTCTATTTCTACCTTGATAATCAAAGGTATATTTATTATTCCCGTTGTATTCTTGATAAGAATGCTATATTCTTTAGTGGATAGTTTATAATAAACTAAATCTTTTCTCTTAAATGGATTACTTATAAAGGAATTTGGCTTGAATCCTTTTTCTAAAGCAAGGTCCATTCTCTTTTGTCTAATTTTTTTATATTTACTTTTATCGAATACAGTTATTTGACTATATTCTCCATGTCCTTCATATTCTTCAGAATAAGCTTTTCCTTCTTCAATATTTTGATTCATCACTAGTAGAGGTATATAAACTTTCTACTTCATGTATACTTTCTTTGCTACTTATAGAGTTAGCATCTATTTCACTTAGTTCTTCTTCATAAATTTTTAAGTTTTTAGTATTTTCTCTTTTGTATTTCTTAGGACATTCATTTGCATAAAGCCTTTCTTCTTTACACAACCAGCATGTGCATTTTTTAGGATTCTTTTTATACTTTTTTGATATTTTGGTTTTCTTAAAATATCTCTTTTTCTTTCTAGAAAATTTGTTCTTAGTAAACCTTTATTTATTACTTCTTTTAATTCTAAATTTCTTATTTCTCTTGTTGTAGTTTGTGTAACTACGTCCTAACTTGATTGGATCACTATTCTTAGAACAAGATTGTCCTTTTTTCATATTTTTTCTTAGTTTGTTCTGGCTATAGGTTTTTGGGCACCATTTAGTAATTTTGGTTTTAGCGAACCAAATTCTTAACCCTAAAATATCTTTCTTATCTTGTACATATATTCTATAGACTTCTACCAATTTTATTCCCCGAGGATTAGGAATTATTCCAAAAAATAAGTCCATGAGGCCTTTAGTCATTCCATGATTTGAAGCTTTATAATAGTATTTCTGAAATAGATAAATGTATTGATCTAATTCACAAAGATTACATAATTCTAAATTTTGCAAATTCCACACTACTATTCTTCCAATTCTAGCCTCCTCTTTTCCTTGATTTTCTTCCCAATTTTTTCCTAAGAATTCTCTCTTAATAGCTTGTTCAAACCTATTTATTATGTTTTGAATTGCTTCGCTTTCATTAACTTCTTTTGAAGCAAGATTTCCACTTATAATAACATTACCATCTTCTTTATTTAGACCAGCAAACTAGTCGTGAACTATCCCTTTAAAGATAACTTCAATAAATCTAACTGTTTATAAGGCATTCCAATTTTTGTTTGCTATGACTATCCACGTAGCTTGAGCCCAGTCACTAATGACCTTCTCTGGGTCAGTAACATAATTTAGATCTAGTCAAATACCATTAGTACTAATTATCTGTTCTTTGATTCTTACTGGTGTTTCAAGTCTAGATTGATTCCCAAATCTTTTACTCTTTTTATCATATATCACTTCATGTGTTAGATTTCTATTTTTTCTATAGCTTTGACTTATGTTGGATTCTACTCCAGGTGGCACTGAAAATTCTGTGGGGGTTATATTAGGATGTGTCTCATCCTTTTTTTCTTCACTTTCCTTTTCTATTTCCTCCTTTTGGATATTCATTTTCATATTTTCTAATTGTTTAGTAGTTATAGTAATCTGTCTGCACAAATTATTTAGTTCTTCTACATTTTCTTCTTCTAAGAATTTTTGTTCAAGTTCTTTCAACTTTTCTTCTTGGGTTTTTAACATGAAAAATGTTATCCCTTTTGATCTAGGTTTTTCCTTGAAATTTTTTGGGATTATTTTAAATCCTTCATTTCTATCTACAATATTTCGCCTACTACAAACTGATATTATAGTATCTTGTAGATCTTTGAGTTGTATTTGGATCTTATAAAAAATTTTATCTATATCATTTTCTAGTTGTGGAATTATTCTGTTATACATTTTTAAGCTTTTATTGTAAAATTTTCAACGATTGCTTTTAATATCTTGAAAATTTCTTCTATTTTGATTTTTATCTCTCTTACTTAAGTAATCAGAGTTTTTGAGTCTTTAATATACCTTATTTCTTCTTTTATTTCTTTCAAATTTCTAGAGTTTTTGACAGTATTTATTCTTTCCTTAATATAATCCAATTCTTGAGAAAGGGATTTTCCCATTTCTTTAATTCTTCTTAGGGTATTTTCATTAATTGTTTCTATGTTTAGAATATTATCTATGATAATTGTATCTTCTATATTTATTATACTTTTTCCAATTGTATTGAGTAAATACATGTTAATTTGATTTATTTGTTCACTGCTCATGCTAATAGAAGCGTATTAATAATATTTCTTAATGTATTTATTCGTTCTTTTTTTGTTCTTATTTTGTAATTAAGAGTTATAATTCTTATTGTACTTTCAATACTTACTTCTAGAACTTCTCTTTCTAAGTTCGCTAGGTTTCTCTCTTCGAATTGAGCTAGTTGCTCAATTTCATCATAAATTCTAACTAACCTATCTCTATAGAGTATTCCTTGATTCATTATATTTTATTTGGATTATAGTGTAATTTTTTTAAAAACTTAGACGACTGTTCTATTTTAATTCTAAGATGATTTTTCCAGTTAAAACTAACAACAATCTTATACGATAGACCATTCTGAAATATTTTTCAAAGTTTATAGACCACTTAGAAATAAAACATATTTTCTAGACTAAAATGAAATCAAGTTGATAGTTAATAGACTAATTTTTGAATTAAGCCGATTTTAAGTTTTCGGCCAAAAAAAAAAACTATCATTTGTTTGGCCTAAGTGTAGTTGTTGTTTGGGTCTTTAATAAAAATAAATACTTATGAAACATCAAGTAAAACACAAGGTTTTGTCTAATTTACCTTTAAAAAGTAGATGTTAAAAATATTTTAATTGTATAATTTTTTTTATTAATTTATATAAAAATACAAAAATTAATTTTATTTTTAATACCAATAATATGTATGTGATTTTAATTATATAATTGAGTAATTGATAAAAGTAAAATTAAATTTTATTTTTTTCTTTGATAATGATTAAAAATATATATAATTAATGCAACTTTAACTTACACTTTAAAAAGCACAAATTAAAAAGAATCTATTAAAAAAGTAGGCCTAAGGTTGACTAGATTTAACTTGGGTGAGGTTTCCAATTCATCTAACCCTAAGGGTTGACTGGATTGAACTTGAGTGAGGTTTCCAATTCATCTAAGTCTGGTTTTAAACCTTTTTATCGAGGTCTCATAAACTTTTAGGAGATCAACTTTACTAGGAAAGTGTTTTACATAAAATTACTAAATTTTGTAATTAAGTTTTTGTTAGAATTTGTTAAGTTGTTAATTTGTTTATGTTTGGTAAAAATTTAACAGAAAAAAAATTGGTATAGAAAGTTGAAATGAGTTCCACACAAGGAAAGTTAAGGGAATTTTTTTTTCTTTAAATAAAATGTAAGAATTTTTTTTTTAATAAGTTAAGAATCATATCAGATAAAATAAAAAAAATTAATGTTATTGTTTATTTAAAATATTTTTAGAATGAATAGAAATTCATTTTTATACAAAATTTACCCATTATATTTATATAAAATCTTAATAATTTAATTTTTTATTTTCAATGGTTAAGATTTATTTATATTTATTAAAGATAATTATTACTTTTATTTAAAAAGTTATAATAAATCTTAATTATTAAAAGTAAAAAATAAATAACTAAAATTTTATATAAATATGATGTATAAGCTTTGTGATAAGCTTTGTATGTAAATAAATTCATCTTTTTCTAAAATAAATAAATACCAAAATACTCTTACAAAATCTTTAAAATGAAACTTGGTTTGAACAAAAAGATTTTGGATTTCTTTAAATAAGATTTACGAAGATTTTAAATTTAAAATTTATGAATAAAAAAATAAATATTAAGATAATTTTTTTATTATGAAATCTAATACAATTCAATTATAAAAATTAAGATCCAATATAACTTTTGAGGTTAGAACAAAAATAAATAAAGGCTTTTAAAACAAGTAAAACCTAACGCGCCAATCATTTTCATTTCTTAGAAATAAAGCCTTCTCAAGGAACATCCTAATGCTGACATGTATTTGCTCTGCCCCGAAGCAATTAGCAATTTTTTTTTTTTCCCTCGGGAAACTCTCTGTTCTCTCACACGCGATGCTTGCTGCTGACGATTTAGAAACAATATAAAAACCGTAATTTGAGGTCGGCCTATGCAGAAGATGGTTTACACCTGCTTTTCTCATTGACTTTGAATGCGTTTCTTTCCTTAAAAAATCATCATCGAGACAAGTCCCCTGCATAAAACAAATAATGAACTAAAAAAATATTTTATAATTTTAATTATTTTAAAGGATTTTTTTTTTTTACTTATGCTTTTAAGATATAAATTAAGTGTATAATTTTTTTATAATTAATGTATATAAAAAAAATAAAAATTGATTTGAATTTAATTAAATGATTAATTAAAATTATTCATTTGACATTGTCATTAGCATGTAAGATAATCTTTGTTGTTTTTCATATAAATTAATTGTAAAAAATGTATATTTATTACGCTTTTAATCTATACCTTTACAGTACAGATTAGATAAACCATATTTTAATTTATAAAATATTTATAATGACTTAATTTATTATAGAAAAAGAAAAAATCAAGATGTTCTAGTATTAAAAATATCATAACGTTCAATCATAATTATTAAATATGTAAGATACCGTGTGAATTTTAACTTTATCAAATTTATTGTGTAACTTTTATTAGATATCTTGACATTTTTAATATCAAAACTTTCTAATTTCCCTTTCCCTATTGATTATACTCAGTTTTAATCATCAGATCTCATAATTTTAAAATGCATTATTAGGATTGATAAGTGTTTAGTTATATTCCTAACAATTTTTTTTTTATGCTTTACTCATGTGATTTATCAAGAATGCCCCGCTTTGGAATCCTTCCTTCCCGTCCTTCTCATTCGTTTGTTTGAATCATTCAATTCCAAAAGTTTAATGTTGAATTTCTTTGAATATGTAAGGAGTGAGGACAACCACACATGATCACTTCTAAGAACTTCAACGGTTCATACTTAATAGATTAATCAGAAACCAACTTCCTGGAAAATACCTTCCATTTCTTCAAGCTTTTCTTCTCTCATCTCCTTTGGAATCTGAATCTTACAGAAAAATCAACCAAAAAAAAAAAATGATAGTTCTTTTCTTCGACGCCATTTTCTTCCTCTTCACCACGCTATCTACCATACTTGCTCGCTTGTTCGTCTTCTCCATTTACCTTTTTGTGCAAGCCATCCAGGTATTCAAGGTACCTGGCGAAACCATCCAGGCCGGGTTAGAACAGGTCGCGGAGTTCATCAAAACATGCTTCGAGTTTGTTTTCGGTATTATTATCGAAATTATATCAGCTATTGTCTCTGCTCTTTTGGATAATGTTAAGGAAGCGATTAAAGGGTCAGCTGCAGAAATGGTGTCTAAGGTCGTTGATCTCATGGAGAATACGAGAAATTCCTTGGATGGTTTGTTGAAGGATTTACCGGAGATTGGAGAGAGTTTCTTGCAGATGATTCAGACTGTGATCGAAACTTTATGGGATGGTTACAAGGATTCCGTGAAGTATCTTATAGGAAGTGCAGATTAGTTATCTTCGTACATCAATATGATCTGATTTTTTTTTTTTTTTTTTTTTTTGTATTTTTACAAGAGTAAATCATGAAAATATTATCGAAGTTGTTAAGTTTTGCCTTGAGATTGATTATAAGATTTATGTCCATTTATCTCTAGTAAAACATTAAAGGAACACGATGTTTTTGTCTGTTTGATTTTGAGGTAAATGAAAGGGTGGGAGAAGGAAGTAAATCTGGTATTATTTCAATTAATCAAATTAAATTAAAACAATAATTTAATTTGTTATAATAATTTTTATATCTCTTTTTCCTCAAATTAAATAGGTATTGAAAAAATTAAATTTATGAGAATTTAAGGTAAAATTTTGAGATATCAACATGTCTGATTCGGTAGACATGTCTTCAAAATTAACTAGTTGGATGTAATTATTACTAATCCATTCCTAAGCATTTTAAGCAATCGAACGGCACAACACATATACCTCTTTGAGACCACAGCCACCACACCTCGATGCAAAATAAAGGCAATGGTTACAAGTGTTAATGCCACACAATTTTTTATAGGGTTTTTTTTAAGAATATAAGATCAAAGTGTATTTATTGTATTTTTTTATCATTAATATATATAATAAAACTAAAAGTTGATATTAATTTTAGCAATTATTCAATAAAAAAATCCATATGTATGTCATTGATATTAAAATTAATGTTAATTTTTTTATTTTTTTATATAAATTAATACATAATTAATGATAAAAAAATGCAATAAATGCATCATTATCTTGTGTCTTTAGAAAATAAAATAAACAAAGTAACCTTATTTTATATACTATGTTTTAAAACATTGATTTAATTTAGTTTGATTTTTAATAATAATTAATAATTATAATTATTAATTAATAGATAATAAATAAAATTATTAATATTTATTACTTAATAAATTAAAATTAATACATAAATTAATGTTTTTAAATGCTATAACTAATTGTTTATGAAAAACATAACAATTTGTGAGTCCCTAACACTTTTCGGTGGCACACAGCCACACCCAACCGCATGCAAATAAATTTCATGAATAGAGTTAGCATGAACAGGACCCGCAAAAATAGCCATCAATTAACACAAACTTTGACCCAATTCGTTCTAGGGGTGACAAATGTATCCTACTGAAATTGATTGTGTGAAAATTGGATATCAATACAAGATTTATATCTAACTTAAAATTAATTGATATGAAATGAAGTAACCCTCTTTATTTTTAAGTTCCTTCATGTGCAAATCCTGTATGCGGGTTAGATATTGTCACATGTTTTAAAACACCCTTACATTCAAGTTTGGTATAAATTTCAAGTCCTATTAAATAGGTTACAAATGGGTCTCCCAATAATAGAGTGTAAACTCTAATAACATGTTAAAAACTAAAAAGAGAGTAAGCTTTTCTTCAAATATTTCTTCCTTTTTCTAGTTCACAATAATAAAAAATTAAACTTTACGTTTCATCAAGGTTCTTCTGGACCATATTATTTGAGACAACCCTAACTGATATTTGTGAAAATTAACATATAGGCTTTAATACAAGCTTTGACATCTAATTTAAAATTAACTGATTGTAGGTAAAATAACTTTTCTTATATTTAATTCACATATTTTTTTGTTATTTTAAAAATGTGAGATTTTTTCACTTAACATTTATTCCTTATGTGCAGCTTGACATTAACATCAACTCCTATCATGTGGATCTCAAGCTATGGACTTAAGAGACTCTTTTCACATATAGGTTTGATCTATCACATGAATCTTAGATTAACAAAAGGCTTGAAATATCCTCCTCTCATGTAGGCCCAAATTGTTACGGAATCTTATGAAGCCTAAGTGCCTTTCTCTCTAGGATTGGAGTTTAGGGTTGTATTCTGAGTTTTTTTTCTAGAAATATAAGTGTTTTTCTCTCTAAAAAAATAAGTCGCAAACTAAAATATGCGAAAAAATACTATGTGCCTTTTCTCTAGGATTAGAGTAAGGGTTGTATTTTGGGTTTCTTTCTTTGATGTCTCTCCTTCTATGAATATTTTTATCTCTTCTAATTCTTCTCGTGCCACATTTCTTCTTCTTTCTTCATCTCTTTTTTTTTTTTTTTTGGTTTTTTTTTTTATGTCCTTCTTCTCGTGACTTTCTTACAAAGAAGTCTATAACTTCTTCTTTTTTTTTTTCGTTTTTCCAATACAATTTAATTGAGTCTTGTGGTATTGACGGCAAGTAAACAAAAATATAAATAAATAATCCCGGACAAGTTTGTC